GCACTGGCTTCATACTTTGCTGAACTTAAAGAAATTTATTTATTTATGTATTTATTTATTTATTTATTTATTTATTTGTTTGTTTGTTTGTTTGTTTGTTTGTTTGTTTGTGAGGTTTTTGTGTTGCTTTTGTTTAAATGATGAGAAAGCCATGACTGAATCTTCACACAGTGAAGCCTTTTAGACTTTAGGCACTGGCTTCATACTTTGCTGAACTTAAAGAAATTAAATGAGTTGTTTCTATTTAAATGACTCCTCTCTACATTTTAAATGAAAAGACAAGGATTTGTCCTAATGGTAAAACCTATTTTTTTTTCTCTGCTGAGAAAAATTTAAAAGATTTGAGTTTATCAGTATTTTCAATCTTTAAAGCCCATTTTCATACACAGACTGGGATGCCATGTGACTCTGCCTGGAGCTTCTTATGTTTGCTGTTGAGAGAAATTGCACCAATACCAATAACCTGTGGCATAAAAGCCTGCAAACGTACAGACTGAAGAGGGATCAGGATTAGTTTACGTTTATCTCATGTTACATTATAGTATAGTTTTCTAACAGTTCTGCATCACCATCCAGCATTGAATGAACCATTAGAGGGAATCCTGGCTGGAGCTCTTCAGGACTGAAACAACCACAGAGACACCAAGTGGCTGCAGATGAACAAGACAATCAGCATCAGGATACTCTTTGTTAGGCTTGTTTTAAAAAAGAATAAACTGTCCTAATCATATAAACATTTATTTACATTACCCGTGCTTCAGATTTTCTCTAAAGCTTTTTTAAGAAATAACAATTAACTCAGTGTGTTTACTTCCAAAAAATAATTAAAATGATTTTTTTTACTAACAAATGAGCCTTACAACCAAAAGGACATAAAAGTGTCACCAGTATTAGTTCAGAACTTAAAGTGAAGTTTTGTTAAAAGATGAACATCAAATATCTTACTGCTGTACAAAGCAGAAAACAATAATAACTGATATTATTATTTTTGTGGTTTAAAGAGATTACGTGCCAACTCCCCATTATCTTGAGATTACAAGTAAAACAAGTTTTTTCAAAATATTGTCATAAAAAAACAATCTACTAAGTGTCYTCTTCTGGCCTTTGTGAAAAACTTATTCAACAACTTCAGTTTGGAGATCCAGGGTTTAAATTACTAACTAATGTTTGGTTTGAGTGTTGTTGGAACAAAACTGGTTTTCTGCAGCCTGCCCTCTTAAAACAACTCTAATTTAAACAACATTATAGTGACTCATGTGAATAATTATTTTATGAATCTTTACATCACAGGCAAATTTGCACTATCTGTGTTTTTTCATATAGTTTTATCTGTGGTTACATGCAGCACAAAGAATACTACTTCCTACAGAAATATACTGTAAATCAGTATTGCTGCCAGAAAACCTGTGCAACGTAAAACTGATGGTGGTGTAAAGATTTAGTAAACAATGTTTAGATGGTATTTTGATTAAATAATTCAATAAGAAGAGTTGTTTTAAGAAGGCAGCAATCTATCTTGGTAGACCCACTCAGACCAGTCATTAGCTTTGTTCAGAGTTACTGTATTTGCAACAAGTATTCATTATTCAAAGCTTTTCAACAAAACCCCACTTAAAAACATTTGAACCATCCCTTTAAGTTTTCTTGATGCTCACCTTGTAGTTTAAATGTACTCACTGCAAACTTTGAAATCAAACATAAAAAATGTTATCCTGAGCTTTCTCAGTGGTTCCATTTGAAAGAGTTTACGTCAGTAGTTTTCAAGATATGAAATTCTGAAATGAGGGTCTGCACTCAATGTAAACAAAGTGGAGCTGAATTGTCACAAAACCACGTGGAAGTTTAAGTCACAGGACTAAGGTCRGCTGTGTTCTGTGTAGGTAAACAAATATGGTGGATTTGGACTCAGAAAAGACATTTGGTGAATCTGCTGCAGGACACCCTGACCTTCAGTTACAATTTGTGCTTAAATTTGTGCAAATCTTTGTAGGTCACATGTTGGATTATCAGTGACTGTAAAAACAACCTTTTCTTTTTTTATGCTTCAAAGTGTTCTTTCACCTTGGACATCACAAAAAACGATAACACTTTGCATGTTTGCTGAACTTCATCCTTTGGTAAACGGCTGCAGCTCAAGCAGCAGCTAAAAACACTTTTCCTTATTGTTCCTGTTATCACAGGTTGTACCTCCATGACAAACTGAGAAGAAAAGTCTAATTGATCATAATAAAAGCAAAGATTTTATTTGATTACATGAGTTTCATTATTTTTGTTTTTACTATGAAGTTTTTACTCTGTTAAGGATTTGAAATTTAAATCAAAACATTCCCATATTTCTCTAACTTTCTGTAAATCAAATGCCCAAAATGATTTGTTACTGGCTAATATAATCTTAAAAAGCTTATAGGTTAGGGATTTTGGTTCCTTTTTCAGGAAATATTTACCAGCAGACAAATCRAGGAGACTACTGCAGGCATGATGTTCAATCAGTCCATGAACAAAACAAACATTACCGAGAATATTCTAACTTTTGATGAAAAGTTTCTTTAAAATTAACAAATTAAGTCATGAGCTTARATGTTTTGAACAAAAATGAGAACTAAAATTGTTCTTTAGATTTTCTGATTATATATTCAATAAAAATAATATTTTTTTCAAACTAAACAAAATGTCTCTGGACTTTTCTTCCATTCTGCTTTTTTATAAAAGTCCCTTTGTCAGAGACTTTTTGTCCTCTGGTGAGATGCTCTTCAAGAAGTGCAGCCACATGTGCCAAGACGTTAGAAAAATTGTCTAAATTTTAAACACTACAAGAACAAAAACCCAAATATATAAATTAAATAATGTCAAAAAGGCAAAAACAGGTTTCAACTTAAACTAAATTGATCATGTGTCCATTTTTGTGAACAAGGACCTTCCATTTGTCACTTCTAGTTCTCTTGTTCAGTCTTATAGGTCACTGGATCAAGAGGAATGGCCTTCTGCAGGATATCAAACTCCATCTGGTTGTTGTCCATGTCCAGAACACACACAAAGTTGTGACTGCCTGAGGTTATGGTCGTTGTGTCATGAAACATATTCTGAAAGTCAACAGATGTCCTTCTCTCATCTGCCCTGTCCTTCCTTAAAGCGAGAGTCGAGTCAAACACGTCGTCTTCATCCTCGCAGCTCAGTGCGACTTCGTTTTCGTAGCAGAATTCGGTCAGAGCCTGCTGGATCGGGTTTTGGGCGGATCTACGGGCTGAAATTGGAGATGCAACAGAGGAGGCCCGGCTGACAGCTTCATCGAGCTCCTTGGCGCTGAGATGGGGCGTTGATGGCACCTCGTACGTGTTGTGGAAGCAAGCGTAGTCCACCTTGTAGCGGTTCCTGTCCTCGTAGATCACAGGCTCGAACCTGTGACCCCAGAAGATTTCTCTGGCTAGGTAGGAACTACGGAACTGAGTGGTCATGGCTGTGGCCTCTACCATTCCCTCTAAGATCACAATGATCTCAAAGTCATCTGCTTCCAGGTCGGCTCGGCTTAAAGAGTACAAAGGGCTGTCTTCRTCTATCTTGTGGACTATGACCAGAGGAGACACTAGGAGCAGCCTGTCTGTGCCGTTATCGTAGCCCACATTGAGATCCATCTGTTCCAAGGGGATGAACTCACCCTCKGCCGTGACGTACGAACGTACGAGCTGAGCACGGACATGAGCCTCCACAATGTGGCTCCTCCTCAGGTTGCCCACCCTCCACATGAGGCACAGTTTGCCGTCCCGTAGGGTGATGACTGCGTTTCTGGAGAACATAAGGGTCTGGTTCCTCTTCTTYGGCCGAGCCATTTTGGCCAAAATGGTGCCAATCATGAAAGAGTCGAGGATGCAGCCTAGAATGGACTGTATAACCACAGTTACTACAGCAATGGGACACTCTTCTGTAACACAACGCCAGCCGTAGCCAATAGTGGTCTGAGTCTCCATGGAGAACAGAAATGCTCCAACAAAGCCCTGAAGGTGCAGTATGCAGGGCATCCTTTGGGTCTGCCCTCCAACTATGTGCCCAGAGGGAGATCCATACAGCCCTCCCACCATCAGACCTTCAGCTTTTTGTGTTGGGGGCTCCTCAAAGTCACCGTGCGCAAGAGAGACAACGTAAAAGATTAAACCAAAAATCAGCCACGAGATGATGAAGCTGGCGGAGAAGAGAAGCAGCAGATATCTCCAGCGGATGTCCACGCAGGTGGTGAAGATGTCTGCGATGTAGCGTTGCCTTCTGTCCTCCATGTTAGTGAAAACAACATTGCATTGCCCGTTTTTCTTCACAAATCGGCTCCGTATTTGGTTTGAGCCCCTTGTCAGAATCTTCTCGTTGTAGTTGTTCATCGCTCTTGGTCCTYTTGAGTTGGGCGCAGCAGCAGAGGCTCCAGGTCTGCGCCTACCGTCCTCTCTTTCTACGTTGTACTGCTTTTTGATTTTAGTGGAACGGTGGCCATTGTAGAGTTCTACGCTGGAGGTTTTCTCAAGCTCATCCTCTGATATGATGTCTGACACGATGCTGTACCTGTCAAAGAGTGGGATTAGGAGTTAATAAAACATAAATTGAAATAAATTTTGGATCTGAACATTTTTAAAATCTGAAAATTTCTTCCCATGCTAACTGAGTTTTTGGTGGGAGAAACTGAACTTAAAACCAGTTTTTGGTGAATGTAAGTGGAAATGAGAGACAGAGACTTTGAGGAACAATGACACAGCAGCTTGTTTTTACACCTGGGTTTGGGGTGGGGGGTTGTTTSTCACATTGAGAGAAAATCTTAACACCCCCACCCCCAAGAAACATTATTTTTCTGTATTTTGACATTCTTGTTACCCAATTAAAAGGACAAAAATATCAGTAAAATATATTTTTGTAATACTGACAGGACCTTAGAAACATGTATATATTAAAGACTAAAAATTAAGTTTATTTATATATTCTTTTGTTGTTGTCAGATCTTAGAATAAGACAGAAATCCAAATGATCAAAAGTCACGTGAATGTAAAATGAAAAAAAGGGAGACAAAAAGGAAGACTTGCTACTTGTAGAGATCTGTGTCTTGTCTRCTGTCTCCCTCTTGTGTTTTCTTTGTGTCATTATCTTCTCTTCTCACCTCAGTCTGTTTTCTGTCATTTTCCTTGCTAACTACACTCACCTGTCAGTTGTCTGTACTCAGTTCTCCTCAGCTGCTGCCCATTATCCTCTCTCCCTCTCTCGGCATAAAACTGGTCTCTTCTTAATGCCAAAAGGCAAGCAATAATATTTTTCTCAAAAAGTTAACCAATGAACGAACATTTGGAGTCAGATTGATTCAAGATGGCCACCACAACTAATCAACATTCTCCAATACAAAAATGTCTATAATTCTGTCAAATTTACAGATAGGAAATTTRATTGTCCACAATAAGCTGTATATTAGTGATTTGTTTTGATTCTGTAAATAAATGATCACATTTRTTGTTAGATCAAACTAGTCACTGAGTCACGCTCATCTTATTGTGTTTTGTCCATTTATTTTGCACGGAAGAGATATCTACCAAAAGTAAGAGATCCTTGCTAAATACTTGCCTCATAACTTTGTTATAAGAAGTGTAATTGAATCCTCGTAAGGGTGAGGGTTCGTTACAGAGCTAACATTTGGTGTGGTGGTGGTTGAGAGTCATTCTCACATTCTCCAAGCTCAAACAGATCCTGTAGTACTGCCGGAAATCAAAAACTTATTTTAAGGTTAAACTGAAACAGCTTTAACTGTCATTTCTCAACAGAAGATAATCTTAGTTTAAAACCTTGGCATGAAAGGATGTGGATAATTTATCTTTGTTCAAGRAATGTTAGGCCTTAAAATCTTATCTTAATCAAAGGTGCACAATGGCAGAATGAGAACCCTCATAAAAGCACATATTGGATTATAACTTTGACTGTGCAAACACAAATTTTTGATAGTAAAAATTAAGACCTTTACATCCTGTGGATGATAAATTTCAACTTTCTTTCAGTCAGTTTATTGGTTAAAACTTGTGGATGATCCAAACTGACCCATCTCTCCTGGAGGATTATCTAATGGGAAGGTGAGCTCAGTTTGTCTAGCTGAGAGGGATTGCTGTCCTCACAGATTAAAAGATTAAAGTTGAGTCAGTCTGACCATCTATGTTCAGATGGACACATCTTGTGTCACTTTGAAGTGCAAGTAATTGTTTAAATCATCAATTCATTAATTATTTATTATTCAAACGTGGCCTTTAACACACAAAAATTCAATCCGTGACATAAATTTATGGGGATTTTTCAAATGCAAAATGATGATAGGCACAACCACACAAAACACTGAGATGATAATAAAAAAGAGGAAAAAAATAGTCCCATTCATATAATCACAAAATATTAAACATTTACATATCATCAGAATAATAACCTTTTTTACTGCAGTGAATCTGTCTCAGCTGTCTCATGGTACAAGTTCTTTGTGTGCCACTGGGACAGAGCAGGGTGGCCTTGGCCTTTCAGATGATCTGCTTGAGTTAAACACCCCTGAGCTGGATCTGACTCATCCCACCCAGCCAAGTTAACAAGTGCTCACCTCACAGGTTGTTCTGAGACAAACATCACTGAGCCCCTTTGAGATTTCATTAAATAGTAACAAAATAAAAGCACAAATCTAAAGTCCAATCAAGTTAGAGGGAGACTTACTCCAGGGTGTTTCTCACCTGTTGGACCTACTGGTTCCCATGGCACCAATGATCTCTGGGATGTGGCTCCAGCGGGAGAACRGACTGTGTCCTCCTACTAAACTTTAGGTCTCCACAAAGTTTTTGTGTCTTTGAAACGACCACTGCAGGAGACAACATGAATGTACGTGTAAGAACCCGTGTAGTCAGACAACAAGGAGAGTTTCTGAATCTGACGCTGTGGAAAGTTTAAACTGGTGGTGATCACATCAATAAAYGTGTTAACCTTTGTTTCCTATATCAAACTGATGGCTTTTCTGCTTAGACATCTGTTAGAGCAAATTTATATTTTCATATCATATTGAGAAATATGCAGAACAAATAAATCCACCCACTGTGTGCCACTTTTCATTGGTCAGGTTGCAACAGGTTTAGAAGGGAAASCCAGACATCCCTCTTTTCAGGAAGACTCTCCAGCTTTTTCTAATGGATCCCAAGATGTTCCCAGGTCAGAGAKGAACCAAAATGTGAGTTTGGATCTGCCTYGTGATCTCTTCCCAGTGGGTCATGTTTGGAAAACCCTTGAATGATGGCACCCAGAAGGCTTGGACCACCTTGAGTGACTCTTCAATGCAGAGGAGTTGCTGAACTACTCAACAGAAAAAAAACATTTCAGCTACTTTATCAGAGATCTCCTTGTTTTGGTTTTAATGGGATGACAGTGGTGACAGGTGGCATGTCCTTGGACAAGACACTTCACCCTCCYTGCCTACTGGTGGTCAGAGTGGTGGTGCCGGTGTACAGCAGCCTCGCCTCCATCAGTGTGCCCCATGGAGGGCAGCTGTGGCTACACTGTAGCTTACTACCATCAGTGTGTGAATGTGTGTATGGATGACTGTAGGGTGAAGCACTTTAGAGTCCTTGAACTTGATCAAGTGTTATACAAGTGCAGGCCATTTACCATATTTACCTTTCAGCTCTTCTGTATTACCACCACAACAGACAGGAGCAACACCTTTATTCATGTGGATGAAGCAGTGATCTGTCAATCATACCTCCTGCTCCGTCTTAAAACCACAAACAAAACTCCCAGATTTTTGAAGTGTTCTCTCTTCTTCCAGTGGATTGTTCACAGTATCACCACTTTAACATGGTGATTTTGGGATCCTGAGTACTAGTTAGCCCCTGCTAGGGTCCCTTGGTAAACTGGCTTCATGGGATGAATCAGACAAAGAGCATTTTGAAAACCTTAATGATAAAGGAGGATTACATTAAACAAGCAACTTTGCCTGAATCTGGGAATCCAGAACAACTTCCCAGCAGCCAGGTCCAGATGGGAGATCAATGATGGGAGGACAATGATGCAACTACAGAAAGATGGCCATTCTTACTTGGTTTGTATCAAGAAAATTAAAGAGCACACGGAAATAAAAGCTCCATTATCTATTGAGGACATTTTTATTGATCTAATTTTGTGGACCTGTGGACGTTATATGTTACTTAATGTTGAGGACATTTGGTTTCAAACTGGCTGTCCTTGTTGACTAGATCTGAAGTTTTATTTCAATTTTAAATAAAATATTGATATGTTTAACTCCTGTTTATATATATACTGTATATATATACAGTATATATATATATATATATACTGTATATATATACAGTATAAATATGTGTGTGTGTGTGTGTGTGTGTGTGTGTGTGTGTGTGTGTGTGTGTGTGTGTGTGTGTGTGTTCTAATCCTAAAATGCACACTAAGCAAAAGCTGTTTATTTATTTATTTTTTTCATCACGTCATTAAAAGGAGAAAATTAAACTTTCTACCCTTTTAAAGTTTTAAATAATAACCTCACACATTCACTGGTAAGATGATTTTAAAGTCAACTTTATCTTCTTTAAACTGTCTTTTTTATCAAATCAAACATAAGAGTTRAGATGAAATGACCTGCTGCAGGTCAGATAATGATTTTTGTTGTTTATCACAAGGACATTTATTCTTTTTTCCTGCTATAAAACATGACCAAAATTTAGGCTGTTCTTTTTCATGTTTGTCACAATCCTATTTACAGGCAAACAAGCAGAGATTAATTCCCACACAAAATCACAAATTCTAGTTTAAATACATTTTTTTATTTTGTTGCATCAACTGCTCCCAAAAAGTCACCTTTCCTACAGTCATAAAACAGCTGGTCGTTCATTTTGCATTTTGATCATCCTGAAAGTGAACTGATGCATTAGATCAATGATTTTAAAAAATCTGTCCTTAAATGAGATGTTTTGATTTGTTCACCTGTCTGTCTGATTCAGAACTCATTTCCAAATTTTCTATGAAACTGAAACTAAAATTACATTTTAAAGCTTTTTAGCTGAAAAACAAACCTGTCAAATAAAAGTCTGTTTTCACTTTTATCTTTTTTCTTAATCCTGAAAAATGTACAAACTGAGCACAAATATACTCACTCTGATTTTGTTGCTTGTCAGTGTGAAACTCCCACATCCTTCAGTTTCCCATCATCCCTCCTTTGATGTTTTGAATATTTTAGTTTCTTCATGCTGATTCTTCTTCATTCCTTATTCTCTGTTTTGTGTCTCCATTAATCCTTGAYTGTCTGCCTCCTCCACTGATTATAACTCCTGCTGATGTGCAAACTCATACACACCAGAATGAACCTGCTGCGTCAACCTCTCCTCGGCAGAGCGGAGTTAGGAGGAGGAGAWGGAGAGGAGACGGAAAAGAGGAGGAGGAGGAGGAAGAGGAGGGGTCACTGTCTGTGCCTGTGTAGGTGTTGAATAAATTCTTATGTGAGCAAACAGAAACACTTTCTGAGACAAAATGTCAGCTCAAAGAAAGAACAACTGAACAAGTGGGAGGAATTTTACTGATTTGCCATTAAAGTGCCACCATCCTGCAACAAGTTTCAGCTCACCTGTGCTTATTTCATCAGTAGAGAGGCACCGCTCAGCTCCTTGTGACCTGAAATGATACTGAGGTTCTCCTTGGGAGTGACAAGGATGGACAAGATTAAGAATGAGATCATCGGAGGCACAGCACAGGCTGAACAAAGAAGAAGATGACAGGAGGGTCATATAAACTTAGAAAATATTCAAATACATTTATTATTTAATGATATTTAAGTGCTTCTGACTGTATTGATTTGTCAGACTGAATGCAGTTCAGATAATTACAATTCATTTTTGCTTTTCAGGAATTTTTTCTTCAGTTTATCCAAATAAAATCATTCACTGAGCAAAGTATTGGCTCCATTTGTTGCACATAAAAACAAGTTTTTCACTGTTAGGTCTAGAGCAGTGGTTTTCAAACCTTTTTGCTTTCGACCCACAAAATAACAGCTGCAGACGCTCGTGACCATACATGACTTGTTTACGTAGCAAACTTTGCTAATAACACTGTTAAACAAGGGAATAATAGCTATAAACAAACCTAGTAACTATGATACAAATATTTATTCATTTATGATTATTTAAATAAAATGGCAATAATCATGATGAAAATATTCCATTTGCATTTTTTTTGTATTTAAATTGATGTCTGCAAATCATCTGGGGACCCTCACTTGATGTTTTGTGACCCACAAAAAGGTCCCAACCCCAACTTTGGGAACCACTGGTCTAGAGGATGTTTGTATATTTTTTAAAAAATAATGTCAAGATGTATGTAAGTATGAATGAATAATATGTCTTCTTTCTTTAAAATTAAAAAACAAAAAAAATCTCCCACACCGTGGCTGAAACTCTGTTGATGCTCAGAACCTCTTTTCTTGACATCATCTTGACATCATTTTATAAATCAAACCCAGTGTATACATATAAACATGTATACAGCTTTGTAAAAATCCATCTGCCAAATTTCTATTCCTACCTGTTCAGTTTCAGTGGTACTTTTCTCTAATGATCAGTGGGTAAGAAGAGGAGCCCATCCATGTTTTTGAACTGTGGGAAGAAATTGAAAACTCATCATGAAAATTCCCCACAGAGGGGCTCCAGATGAGAGTTAAACCCAGATTGTTTTTGCTGCCAGACACCAGTGTGCAGCAGTGTGTCAAGGCCACAGTACCTAAAAAATCTGCTTCGAGTCAGAATATCTACCAGTGATATGTTAGTGAAGATAAYGTTGGTGTTCGTTGTGTCCAGTTAGAAATAACTATAAACAACATGAAGAATGGTTACTGCTACTTTCTTGGAAAAAGCTCCAAATTATCAGAACCATATGAAACAATAAGAAACTTCTCTCCAGCTGTTGATTAATTCTAAGTAAATTACCCACAACACTTTCATTCTAACAGGGATTATGCAGGAGGAACACATGGAGGTAAAATCCTGCTTCGTGTGCTCAGCAGCAACACTGGAAACAGGAGGTTGGAGGAAAACCTGCAAAGACACAAAACAGGAAGGAAACAGACTTGTAATATGTATGTAGGAAATCCATTGATTTAACATGATCATGGCCCAACATCTGAGGAGAAGACACTCTTCAGACTGTGTGTATTAATAGCTTTTAATCAAGCCTGTGTGTCAGATTATTGCCCTAACCTTTTCCTCAGCTCACACGTATTATTGGTCATCAGATGGATCACATACAGGATGTCCTCTGTCTGCTGCTCACCCTTCATCCGTATCTC